CCTTCCTCATACAGACAAAGCTAGATTACCAAGAAAAAGTTGCAAGTCACAACATGGACCCATGTGATGAGGAGGTGTGATGGCCACTCTTCCATATTAACAGAAGTGAGTCTCGCGATGGAGTGAAGATTCACCTTAATTTTACCCACCCAATAACAAATATTAATATAACTGGAAACTTCACCAGGAGATAGAGAATCCTAGGAGATATGTATTGTCACATCCTTTATTTTCCCTGTAGATGATAAAATTGAGGCCAAAATAGGTTGTAATTTGCACAAAACACCTACTTATCTCTGCTCCCATCCTGGGGTTCTTTGCAACAATAACCCTATGGAGTGCTCAGTAGCAAAAGGCATTTTAGCTTGTTATTAAAAGATGGTCTCTAATGACTATTTATAGACTTTGAAGAGTAATATGATACAAAGCAAGTTAAATAATTTTGGTTACATCTCATTAGTAGATTTGTGGAAAGAAATACAGATAAAACAAAATTTCTTTCATAATACACATGATCTAGTAAAAGAACAAACAGACAATCATATTCAATTGTGATAAGGAAGATAGTAAATAGATCAATGAGCAAGAAACTTCATAAACAAAGTTGTGAAAATGATCAGTCCTGTCTTATGGATTAAAAAATGCTGTATACACACACACACATACACACACACACACACACACAAACACACACACATATACACATACACACAAAACAGTCAAATTGATAGCTGCAATTTGAAAGATGAGGAAAAATTTACAATGTGGGGGAAAAAAAGAAAGGAGTATTTTACCCATTGAAAAAGCATGCTAAATAGGTACAAAGTAAAAAAGATATATATTTACAAAATGATGAGCATGTTAGTATATAAAGATCTTAGGGAGTGCTAGTTAATTTTGCCAAAAACATGACTGGATTTGGCTAGATATATATACACACAGCCCCTGCAAAATACACAAATTTTAGCCAGGAACTTTTTTTCTATGATCTTACTGAGAGAATTTTTCTGTATTTTCAATTTTTTCTCATCATGATTATTAAATTATAGAGCAAGCAATTGTTATAAAGTACAAAATGATTGTTAGTAAAATAAAAATTCTGTAAATTAAAATCCCACCTCTCATTCAAAGATAATCAGTGTTAGCATATGAAGTATAGCCTTCTGGTTTTTATACCCACTGTTATAAGCATACAGGGGACATAAGTGTAATTTTCAAAAAAGAAATCATATTCTACCCTCTGCTAATCTTTTAAATTTCATAATGTATTTTCTGTTTTCTAGATCATTGTTTCATATTTCTTTTGCTTACTATCTTTGCTTTTTTACTATAAAAGAGTTTGTATATCTAAAACATCAGTTTTTATGGTGCTTATTTTCTTTTATGACATCCAAGGCAGATTTTAATACTGTCATTGTGTTTTTAGATCTGTAGATATTTTTAATTTTGTCAGTTAATTTCCTGTTCTCTAATATATCTTTTTATTTCCTTATTCATCCGAACTTATATTTCATTGAGAACACAATGATATGTCTTGTATTTTTGTTTTTCTGAACATATCTTTGCAAAAGCATTTTTGCCTTACCATAATTCCCTTATAAAATATTTCAGTTTTTAAATTTCCTCTTTATTTGAATAGCTGGGAATGGTTATCAAAAAATGTTTGCCAGGAGACAAAGTGGAAATGTACCCTCTATTCTATGTGATTTGTAACAGAATAGTTCTTTCCATCCAGCCATTCTGCTGGCTGTCTCGCCTTTATCCAGAAAAGATCTGCAATTCAAAACCTGAGGCTCTGTTTTTATCAGAATTGAGGTTTATGTCCTCTCGCCTCATTTTTTCATTCTGATTTTATAAATTTGATTTTAGAATTTTCTATTTATTCTTATTAAATTTCATCTTATTTCACCTAGTTTATTAAATGTTTTGATCTTGATTTTGCGATGTATTATTTATTCCTCTCAGTTTCCTGCCATTTACAAATCTGCCTCAAGTGATTTTTTTTTTCACAAATTGGAGCTCTTTTGCATCTTCCTGGACAGGATTCAATGTCTGTGCTCTTGCAACAATGTGTATTTAAGGACAACCACTCTATCTTATTGAAAATTTGCTCCAAGCATCCGACAAATCTACCATTTAGTGGCACTAGGTGCATTGTGGAATGAGTGGCTTCTAGTGGGGTCATCATCTCTCTATATAGAACCAAAGGAGGTAAAGATGGAAAGTGATTTTGGTGCAAAGATTTCTCATCACTTACTGTTGCATATTAAAATAGTTTTATGACCAGTAATAGTATAATATCCATCTAAAATATAAAAGGAGCAAATGGAATAATTCTCATACATTTCTGGCAGAAGTGTAACACATAACAAATTCTTTAGAACACTGTTTTGCTGGATCTGGTGAAGTTAAATAATTTGTTCTCTATTATGGAGCAATTTTACTTCTAGTTTCATACCCAGCTGATTTGAATACACCTATCCACCAAAAGACATATCAAACAATGCTTGCACCAGTGTTACTCACATTAGACAGAAACTGAAAACAATTCAGTTTCAAAAGGCAGAGTATATTCAGACAGTTGCATAGTACATATTGATGAAGAAAATGGTAAATCATGCAGGTAGCAACTAGATTAATCTCATAGACAAAATTTAAGGTGCAACACCATATATATTCTGTTTATATGGATCTCAAATACAGATAAAACTGCTATGTATGGAGGTGGGCATTCGGCAGACCAAAGACAGTGGTGCTTGAAATGTTCTTTTTTGGTGTGTGTGGTACCAGGGATTGAACTTGGGTCCTTGCGCTTGCGAGGCAGGTAGCAAAACTACTGAGCTAAATCCCTGGCCTGGAAATGTTCTTGATCTGCATGATGATCACATGTGAAGATGTGTGTGCATGTGTGTGTGTAACCATCGTTAAAGTGCGTACTGTTGATATATGTTTTATTTCATGCAAAATAAACTTTAATTTAAATACTTAAATGCAAAATAAAGACATTTCTAAGCAATGTGAAGAGGTGTTTGTAGTTAGATAGAACTAGTAATGAATTTTGAAATCAGAATGAAGACCACAATACTGGTGATGATGAGAGATAATAAATGTGATGCTGTCTAAGCAAAGTCTGGGTTTTTTTGTGGGGCAGTAAATAATTTGCAGATACACTTACATCCTGTAGTTCAGTATGTCTCAGTCTGTAGCATACACACAAATCAAATGGAGATCTTATGAAAAGGTAATTTCTAATTCTCTGTGTCTGGAATGAGGCCTAAAATTCTGTGCTTTTATAAGCTTCTAGATAATCCTAACTTGAGTAGAAGTAGAGAATAATGGGAAGGAATGGGATTATCAACAAGGGAAAGTGCTTGATCAAATCCATGATTTAAATGGCCTTTCTGGAAGCAAATCACGAAACAGATTACAAGGGAGGAAAATGACAGATCTAAGAGACAGTGATGTACCCTGAATTAGAAAAAGGAAATGGAAAGTGGGAAAAGACAAAAAACATTTTGAAGGATCATCAAAACAAACTAGGGTTTCAGTGAACTTGTGGTTTCTAACTTTAATGACAAGGTAGGTATATATGCTTCCACTATAATCATTTCATCAGATCCCTTTTGTCCAAATTGAACTCAGAAACCTATAAAAAATAGTTTTTCCTGTCTGGATCACACTAGCAGAGAATGAATCCAAGAGAAGTAGTATAGTGAGTGGTTTAAGAATAGTTGTATCTAAGAGGAAAAGAATGAATGGTTACACACATCAGCATTGCTGCAGTAACAAATTAGCCCATAGTCTCATTGGCTTTCCACAGCAAAGGTCTATTTAGCCTATATCTAGCTCTACTGGTGCCTTTAATCCACCAGTTTTCATTCCAGGACCTAGGATGGAGGAGCAGGTTCTCTTGGGAGCAAAGGAGCCAGAAGAAATGTGGAGTTTAAGCTTCTGCTCAGATGTAGCACACATCATGTCAATGCCAGCGCCCTTTTCTAAACCAAGTCATATGAACAGGCCTAGTGTTGATCAGGTGGGAACACACCTTTGTTCCAGGGGGCCATTACAGGTCATATGATTATAGATTTTAAAATGTAATCCTCTCCAGAAAGAGCAGAAAAACTGAAACACTAGTGCCATCCATCACAGAGATGTACCCAGGCAAAGAGCTCGAGTTCTTTGTGTCACTGACCCCTCCTACTTCTGAAATTTTCATTTTTTAATTCAACAGTTAAATATTCTCAGCACAAAATCTTTCATTACATGAGGCAAAATGGACAGATTTCAATTTCTACTCTTAATGAGCACTTAAATGTTCAGAACTCTACAGGGGAGAGAAAGGGAGAAGCCAGGGGGTATGAAAGAAAAGCCATTACTAGATAATCAGCCTTGAAGTAATCAAGAGTTGGCTGAATTCTCTCCTGATCTCTCCTGGATTCAGTAGATGTCTTAAGAGAATGGTTGAGCTGTTACTATATTCTATCCCTGTGTGCTCATATTATTCAAGTTTTTTGTGCACTGTTAATGAAAGAATGAAATTACCAGTAGTGTTTTAAGGATTTTTTGGACTCTTTAATATAGAAAAAAAATCTGTATCTTCACTTGATCTTAGCCAAAAGGCCGAGAAGCGATTAAAAATCTGTATCTTAAGAGGAAATTAAATGTAGTCAATCCAGATAACCCAAGAATTATTTTTAAATTTCAAAACTTTCAGGTGGTGTCCACTCATGTCCAATACACTGATAAGCTAAATACTAATTACAACAATCAATAAAGAGATATTTTTGCCAAATTATCTGGATATTTCTCATAAAATAATTGCTATATTTCAATTATTTAAAAACTATATTATTGTCATCTGTTACACTTCAAAACTGTTCTGTATCTCTTTGTGCATGATTAATGTATGATTTTTGAAGCTTTTGTTTTTTCAAACCAAGCTTAAAGTTGTCATCATTCATATCACATCTCTTTTATTTTTCAACCAATGCTCTTAACAGGACAAGAGAATGATTCAACAAAGAATGAAATAAAAATTGCGACAGAATCCCAGAGCTCATACATGGAAACAGAAGGTACGGAAGCCAGGGTATATTATTATCAGAAAAGTGAGATGAAGCTGTGAACCGTGACTTCTGTATATAAAGTGTGTGTGTGGTGTGTGTAGAGGCAATGATTCCTGGAGTAAGGCGATGGTGTACTGCTTTGTGAGCCTCCTGAAACTTGCTGGAAGGAAAAAGAACTTTAACTTTCTATGCTGTTGTCACTGTTTTCTCAATGATTCCAACTAAAACATCTCAGAGTCTCCTTCTGTCTCATTCTATTTAGAGCCTTCATCAAACGAAGAAGATGCCACAATTGTGGACCAACCAAAAGTGATTCCACTGACAGATGACCAAGAAGAAAAAGAAGGTGCAAACGGTAAAACTGCTCTTAAATTAACCCATCAAGAATAGAGCGTTTCATTGGATTCCTGCCTAGAATCCAACTATCAAAGTTTTTCTCTTGCAATTGCAGTCTGTAAAGGGGGAAATGAACATTTCTTTAACTCTGAACCTGCTTTTGAAACTAGAATAAAATTTAGAAACAGCATAAGAGAAATCTTGTAGCACTTTTTTCCTTTTCCAGGTAGAATGAAGATATTTCAATTATTCATTTAGGTTCAGTTTAAAGCTTCAAAAATATAGTATTGAGAAAATCTACAAGAAACCAAAATGATGCAATAGAGGGGTACAATTCACAGAAAATTTGAAGTAGCTTCAAAATAAATAGACTAACTTTTTGTATTGATTTCATAGGATTTTCCTTCTGTGAGGTCCCTGGAGCAGTCAGCTTTCCAGAAACAGGAAGTAGATTGGGGGAGGCCGAGGTGGGGCACTGTTATTTATTTGTTTATTTTTATTTTGAGACAAGCTTTCATTGTGTAGTCCAGGCTTGCCTTGAACTCACTATGGGTCCCAGGTGACCTGGAATTCGTGGTGATCCTTTTGCCTTAGCCTTCCTAGTGCTGGGATTACAGACATGTACCACCACACCCATTTGTATTGATTTCATTGTGCCTTCTTTTGTATGCTAATAATTAAAAAAACAAATTATGTAAAATATGCTCGTTATATGAACCTTCTAAATTGCAAGTTGATCTATTAATATTGAGTACTTTTTAAAAATAAGTGAGATATGATTTCTGAAGATATAGAAAGAATGAACACTTTATAAATATTAGTGTTTGGGCAATAAGAGAATATAAATCTTTTTTTTGAAAAATCTATCAAATAAACTCAGTATTCATTGAAGATCTTAAAGAATTCAATTGTCAAGTATAAAGCAATTTCTTTTTAAAAGCTCATGAAGTAATCTTTCTGTTACATTATATCATAAATCATACTGCTCTTAAATAGGTATTTGCAAATCAGTTGCAGGATAATAACTCGATAGACGTTGTTTGTATAACACTGTGATCAATTTTATTTCCATATTAAAACACAGACATGTTCTCAATTGTAACATCAGGTCAATAGCAACTACACTTTCCAAATTATGAAGGCTTCTTGGCAGGAGCATTAACACAGTTTAATTGGTAAAGTATGTTAGTGATTTTGACACTTTGTTTTAATTTCTAATCCATTTATAGTGCAGTATTCTTCCATATCTGTGTCTCTACTAACTTTTTCTCTATTGCAAATCCCAGTTCAGCATCATGACACCATGTTCCTAGCTAGCATATGAATAGTTTATTTGAAGTATTTTATGTCTAACAATAATAGTAGTGAATTGATACAACCTTTTTTTCAGATTCAGATACATGATATTGCTCCCTTTAATTTTTCTCTTAAAATGAAAAATACACAATGTATTTTTGCTTACTTTTGCTTACTTTTTCTTCTGTAGGAATTATTTGCTTTGTATATTACACCTGAAGTAATGTAAATGAACATCAAACAACTGGCATATTTCCTTTTTTCTAGCTTGACCTATGAAAGAAGCTCACATACAGTACACATATTCCTAGCATGAATATTCCTCTAATTACCACAGAATTCAATACTCCTTTTCCTCTCTTCCTCGTAGGTATACCAGTCTTCTTCCCTAAATACTGGGATGGCATGTGGGAAAGGAGCAAGGTCAAATTCTGTTACATGCTTTAGCAACTTTGAAGTTACATTTCTTTACTGTAGTTTGACTTTTCACTAGTAGAGAGTAATACTGGCGGGCTTGAGTTAACCACATTTTCCTTCCTGTCTTTATTGAAGATGCTTAACTTGACTCTTCCTTGAACATTACTGGTGTTTAAATATGGTATAACTTTAAATCATCACCTTTGTCATCTTATGATTTTCATCAATGAGTTGGTCATTCAGATAGATAGACAGACAGATAGATATACTTGTCTTATTTTATGTTTGGTCGCTAGTAATACCATGAAATGGGAAAATTATAAAGAAAAGAGGTTATTCCAGCTCACATTTCTGGAAGTACAAATTCCAGGCCCATATCTTTCCAGTGGAATCCTGGGGCAGCACAGAGAATCACGGGGTAAGGAGCAGGGGTATGCATGTGTATGTGTGTGCCTGTCTGGTCTCCCTCTCTGTTCTTATGAAACTACCAGGATTCAGTATGGAGGCTCCATCCTAATGACCTTATCTAATCCTAATCACCTTCCAGAGTCCTGCTTCTAAACAACTTGTGGTAGGATTAATTTTGCCCCCATTTAACACCCCATGAAGGGATTTAACTTCAACACTTGGGGGACACTAAAACCATACCCCCCAATGATGCAGTACCTAAAGGAGAACCATGTAGATTCACGGTGGCCTGCACAGCTCTTCCCTACCAATGGCAATCAGGGTGACCTTGGGCAAGTTATTTAACATGTCTACTTCAGGCCCCTCATCCATAAGATGTTGGTAACAAAAGTAGCTGTCACATGCAGTTGTGGGGGGAAATTTAACCAGTAACACATGTAAAGCAATCACAACAATACCAGTCACATAGAAACCATTCCTTAACTACTTAGCATTTATCATAATTTGATGAGTGGATGACAAAGCCAAAAGGAGCTACGTTTGTTCCCCGAGTTCATCCTTGTCCTTTTGAACAGTTTGACTCCACAGAAACCTCACATATTCTACATTATCCTTCAACAAGTGGCCCCTCCCATTTGATTGGTGGAACCACATCACGCAGGCAGTTTCATTATGGCTGTAAACTCTACATATTATTGCTTATTTTATTCTATAAAAATAGAACATTAATGGAGGTTGGGTGTGAGGCATTTCTCTCCCATATGATAAGCTCCTTTTCCTTTGTCAAGGTCTCAGTCTTCTATTTGAAAAGTAGTGATGGAACCATCATTTCTATTTTTAAAGAAAGATGCCATAAAAGTATTGATAAATCCACAGAATAAAAATAGTGAATAAATTAAAGTAGTAGAATTTACTTTGCTTTCTTTTCATTCATGTAGTTATTAGTCTCGTTTGAAAACATTTAGAGGCTATAGCTCCAGGTTTTATGTATACTCTCACAAAGTAGTCTTTTAATTGAAATTTGTGCATGTGTTTTAATAATTGTTTATAAGCAAAAACTAATGAGTCTTCTATTACATTTATGGAAAAATTCTTTATACCTCTAACAATATCAGTTCTTTTATTATGAAAATCTTCCTAAGCAGTCTTCCTAAGACATAACTGCCTTAAAAATACCAGATCAGGAAAATTGCATAACTTTTCTCTCCCATTTTGCTGCATTTTATAAGAGTACAAAATGTAGATAATCTTCAGGACACATCTTCTATGATTCCCAGGTGTATGAGCACAGATGTTGCAACATTAAGTTTTAAAGTTATCTCTACCAAAATATGGATTTTGAAAAGAAAGAAAAATATTCAGCAGAAGTTCATGCTGATAAAATTACACAATAGCACAATGGACATATCCCTGGGAGGCCTAAAATACAAAAATTTCAACAGGAATGAAGCAAAGTTTCACATATGGCAGGTTTTCTCATATAGCCACATTGCCTTTTCCTAAATGAGTCCAGTTTTATGCTTTCCCAGCAGGATCTGCAACAAGTATAAAATCCACTGGAATAATGCTAATAACCAAACAAGAAAGAATTGCAGGAGATCTCTAAAAAGGGTCTCGTATTTTAGTATAACAGTTATATATAATTAGTATTTAAACATTTTTCATAAGATTTTTCATTTCTACTTGAGTTCAAAGTATTTGACATAAAATCTCAACTATATCATTGTGTCATTATTGTATCACAAAATTTCCATTGGTGCTTTGCTATGAATTTATGTGAGACTGTTTCTTCAAGTATTACATAGAATACAAACATTTGGTCCCAAATATTATTTTATTTGAATTAATAGGCATAATAATATGGAACAGTAATACTTTATTTGTCCAAGGTTGAACAAAATGCATTACAGCCTAAGGTTTTCTTGGGAAAAGATGAATAGACAAACATACAAGTAGACAATTCAATCTAAGCCAGTGACAAGAATAAATTGTTATGTGCTTAGGCTCCTGTTTTGGCAATTGATCATCATGTCCATGAGGCAAAGTCTACAGAGAACCATGGGCTTTTATCCCTGGCTGCGTGATGGCTGGCATTCTTTTAACTAATATTCTAAGATGGTAATGAGAAACATAAGTTTAATAATGCAATTAGATATCCTCTAATTTCAAAACTTTGCTCAGACAGCCAGCTCTGAAAATTTATATTCTGGATGAAATAGGAGTGATAATGTAGGAGCTAATGTTCACTAATATAATGAAAGCTAAAAATCTTAGATTTTTCTCCAGTTTTACTTATTGTATTCTATTGACAAAAATGCAAGTGCACTGTAGACCAGGCAAAAGGATAGCCAGATTAACTATATTTTATTTTAGGACTTAACACTAATTGGACAGCTAATTGTTCTTTGAAGGTATTCTCAGGGGGGAAATGACTTTGAGCTTAAATTATGTTTATATAAAAAAAATCTACTCAGAACCAGGCTGGATGTCCATCATCATCTTTCTAGTCCACACTGAAGTCATCTTTCCTCGTAGCTCCTCTGGCCACTGGTTCATTTTCCAGTGAAGACATAGTAAGTGAGTCACTCTCTCTTCTGCTCCATCATAACTAATCAAATCCATTAGGGATCTACCTGGTCTACAAAGCACCACTGTGCAGCCTTGGTGCTTTCCATTATTGATAGGATTCCTACGTCACTGACAATGCTCTTTCACCTCTCCTTAAAAAGCAGCCCTCATTCCAGCAGTATAGTCATACATAACATCAGTAACATCTGGGCTTTTGTATCAGCCTGTGTTCTTTGCTACAGAGAATCATAGTGTTTGGAAATATTGTTGACTTATCAAAACAAACTTGAATCACCAACTCTGCACAGAATTGGGCTTGATTTACATCAC